AAATTTTCTGACTTAATGCTATCAAGGACCTCTCTCGATATTAAAAATAGTATTTCCTTTCACATGTAACTGGGAAGCAATTTTATTAAATAAAGAAATAATTCATAATTTTGCCATCACTATTTGAGTGTTCGAAGTCTTTTCATTTGCAGACACATGTTACATATATGTGATCAGTATATGCACAATTTTCATCTAATATTCTCTCCTATGCCTTTCATGTGTTTGATATATCTTCAAAATTATAATTTTTAGTGACTGGGTAGACAGACTCTCCATTATTTTTTTTGTTCCTAGATAATTTACTTGCCTTCAGTTATTTACCACCCTAACTTCTTTTTTGTTAATATACATAAATTATTTGAACTGTTTGCCCTACTTCTAAAATATTTGAAGCATTTTAAACATACAAAAAATTACGGAGAATGGTCCAAGAAATACCCATGTACACACCTAGACTTAAGAGATATTCTAATGTTTTTTCTAACCATGATCTCAGAGAATGGATTAGGTACCATCCGGATAAAAGTCTAGACTTCCAGGCGTGGCTGCAACTGCAGAAACTGTCATGTTAAGTGTAATCAGGTCTCTTTTCCCCACACAGGTTTTATGATGGGCGACAGCCTGTGTTGGCTATCATGGATCCGGACATGATCAAAACGGTACTCGTGAAAGGATGTTACTCTGTCTTCACAAACCGGCGGGTAGGCATGGATTTATTTTACATTTACATAGTTACTTATAAAACTTTTATTTGGCAATAAGAATAGATTCACAGGAAGTTGTCACAGAAGGTCCCATGTCATGTAACCTTCAAGCCGTTTCCTCTAAGGCTATATCTTGCTCAACTATAGTACAGTGTCCAAGCCGAGTTTGACATTGGTTCTAGTCACAGAACTTAAACAGATTTGAGTAGTTTTATATGCACTCGTGTGCGTGTGCGTGTGTGTGTGTGTGTGTTGTTCTCTGAACATTTATCTTACATGTAGATTTGTGTATCTGCCCCCCAATGACGTTACAAGTTTGTTCCATCACCAAAGAGTCTCCCTCTTACTACTCCTTTATAGGCACAGTGTGTAGCTTGTCTCTTCATTATCTCAGGGTTTTCAGCAGAGCACACAATTTTGGGTTTTTCTTTTTAATTTTGACATGGCCAGTGTATCTTTTATCCATTTATGGGTTGTGACTTCGGCATCAAGTTTGAAAAATCTTCACCTAGCCCTAAGGCCCTAGGATTTTCTCCAAGTTTTTACTTTTTTGTTTTACCTTTAACTATATAGTTTTATGTTTTATATTTATAATGTAAATCCTATATGGTTTTATGTTTCACACTTAAGTCTGTGATCCATTTTGTGTCAATTTTTAGTGTTAATTGTGAGGTGTGAAGTGTAGGTCAAAGATCCTTGTTTTTGGCCTATGGATGTCTAATTGCTCCAGCACCCTTTGTGAAAAGGCTATACTTCCTCCATTGAATTGCTTTTGTAGCAGTATCAAAATTGAGTTGGCTTATATGTGTGATATCTATTTCTCATTCTCTGTTCCGTTCACTGATCTCTACCTCTCCCTCCACCAATGCCAGGCTCTCTTGATTACTGTGGCCATATAGTAAGTCTCAGCATCATGAGCAGTGATTCCTCCCATTTT